GAAATGGATTGACAAGTGTCATGAACAGGTTGTGAAGGCTGAATCCATCAGAGATATCAGATAATCTCGCAACCAATGGAGTCCCAAATAATGACCAAGGTGATGGTTTCTGAAAGTAAGAAAATCCTTCGGGCCTGAAAGAAAGAAAAGGGGGAAAAAAGAACCAAAGAATCAGGAAACATATCTGCACAATAATCAACACATAATACTACGCAAAGGAAAAATAATGAATTAAACCTCACGTTTTCTCACGTCTATGATCAAACTCAACCAAGGGAGCCTTGGATGATTCACTTTCTTTTGACAAACGATAGGCAACAAGTGTGTCATTATCCCTGATCGAGTCTAATGAGCGAGTTGGATCATCAAATATTTTAAAAATAGTATTATTATATATCTGCATAAGAAACCATAAGTTCGAATTAGTACGATATACACTTCAAACTCTCAGTAATGTGAACATCAAATATGCTACAAAAGCTAAAAACACCTACTAACTGGTTAATGAGCATATGATGGAAAAGATACATATTTCATTTGACAGACTAGGAGTTAGGACAACAGTTGACACTGTTCCCTCACAAAGCATATAGTTCCTAAACAAGAATCCATAAATAGAGAGTTTTTGTATAATTATTACAGAGAACGTTTGAGTATTATTATCAAATAACAATAAGAGAACTAATTTAGCATGTTTTATACCTAATAATATACTTGCATCTAACTCATAACAATCCCACAGAACTTCAAAGTCTTCAACATGAAAAGTTACATAACATACTACATGAGTGTCGTAAATGACAACGTTAAAGAATGGATATGTTATAGCTTACCTCTGCCAATATGAGAGTCTCGTCATTTCTCAAGGAACATGCACTGCTTAAGGTGTCAATGAGATCCTTTAACCTTCCACACTTCGGGACAGTAACTACAACTGGAGATGGTGTACAAACTCCATCAGCACCCAAGATTGTTAGAGTCATTTTCCGCATTGTTGTTGAAGGCAGGGGCAGAGATAGGTACATAAACGGGTCAAATGTGATAGATGACTTTTTACAAATAGGGCAAACCAAGGTTGAGCGATATTGTCCCTACAATAACAATTTGGAAGAAAATGAACTAATATGGGCAAATCGATTTGTGTAATATCAACTGGCTTTTTGATCGCAGGAAAGACATCACAAGTAGGTACTGACACTTGATTGAAGAATGGCACAAAAAACAACTTTGTGTTTCATGATACATGAACAGTAAACGAATAGTGTAGTGCTTCACTGATGCGGTAAAGCACAAACTCTTGCATAACTGAGGACTTACTTGGGAAATATCGACTATAATTGAGTCATTTCTAGCCATATGATTCTGCCAGCATTCTTCTGCAACCTCAACATCTGGACGACCTTCTGAATCTTTACCCTCTATATATGGCTTGTCTTTTACACGATTCAAATCCTCATGTAATCCATCCAACAAAAATGCAAGAAACTCCTGCATAAATAAGATACAAGTAAGAGAATTTGCAATGACTTAATAATTTAGTACTTGTGCAAAATAAAACAAGGCAACCGTAAATGCAATTGAATCAACCACTAGATGAACCTGAGAATCATGTTGATTATAACCACTAAACTGGGGAGCAAAAGTAGCAAGCCTCTGTTTGAATATTGTTGGAGAAATGGAGCTTGATCCTGGAGTCCATAGTTTCCTTAACAAGTCTCCAAATGCCACCGCAAGCCCACCCTAGATAAAAGGAACGTGTAGAAGAATGAGCGGTGCATAAAAGGTGAAATCAACCAAAAAAGAATAGAGTGAACATGACTTACTTTCATTCCGAGTGGATTTTCCCAATTGATCTCTTTCTTGTAGTCATCAAGGAAATAATCAGTCAGCTTTGAGGTGTGTGCCAAACACTGAATTGCGCTATTCATAAAACAAGTATTCCCAAGATTTTGCATCCCTTTCAGACCCAGGAAAACAACCTGTCTATGACCACTAAAGAAAGCTAGGGAGTTTGTAGAGGTCGGGTAAGTCACTGTCCAATCACTGCTTCCATTTGTTTTAATTGAGCCACTATAGTTGAAAGATGATGAGTTGTTATATCCCACCCTCTCGTCTACTTTACCATCTTGCTCGGCGAGAAACTCTGAAAATCCATGTACTTGTAATTCAAGTGTGATCTGTCAAGATGGCAAGAAAGAGAAATTAGTTATACATGGAGAATGAGAACCGTGACCATTTACGTTACAACTCAAATGTCTCACTGATTAGGGGAAAAATAATCGATCAAGGTATGCCAAGCACTACTAATTTGAATAAGTCTGATTGGAAATAGTTGATAAACAGGTACCTCCTTTTCTAATGATTTTCTGAGTAAAGCACTAGGCCTCTTAATCTGATTGTTTATAAGAAGTTGAGTTGTCTGGCCAGAGAAATCCCAAATACTCAACTGCACAAATAATATGCGTTACAAAATATCTGTGTAAACCAAAATAACACATCTGAAAAGGTACTAAGAAAATGGCTAACCGGCTCGGACTTGGGAGCAAAAAGAGAACAGGCTCTCCGGTATGAAAAGAAGAAATTGTCCTGCAACATTTTGTTACATTAGAAAAAGATATACAAAATAGTGGAAGAGGACTATGCCATTGCATCACAAAGAAAGTTCGTGCTTCGCTTTCTTTAAAAATTTAACTGACTGCCACACTGGAAAAAACCACATGTGATCAATTACTATTGAATGAGGGTATTGCTATTTAAAAGTAAGAAAAGGATTTATGACCTTTGAATTGATCCTTGCAAATAAAGCATTTGCTCCCCCAGAAACAGAAAGCCTGATTTGTAATGAAAATAGATCTTGATCGTTGTCCTTCGCAAGAGAAGGGTAAGCAACATCCTTCGATATACTTTTCAAATCATTATGCCTGCAAAAATTCAGCAAATCAAGATCAAAATTCTAGAGATCCTTAAGTGTATAGAGTTCTACAAACCAACAAGTTCATCAACTATCACACAGACATACACACACATTCTCTAATATGATTTGCTATAATAGCTCATTTGATAATGTTTTTCCCGTATGTTTACCCATGTTGGAACTAAAAGTTACCTCAAGTACACGAGTTAACCTACAATAAGAACTGAACTTCAAAATATGAAGCAACTAACAGCAGTATCTGACAACACTTGCACCCAACAATCGCAGCCCCACTTAAATACACAAGTCATTAACATACAGAACAAAAGAGAGCAACCTTCACTTACCACTTAAGTGCTCGTAACCACATTGTTTCTGATAACAACGCATACTCCCTGCCTGAAAACCCTTCCTCCACATCATCATTCTCCATGGTTTTGTCACCTCTCTTTAAGTAGAGTTCAATCTCCACATCATCATAGCTCGAAGCAACATTATACGAGACTCCAACATGATTTGACATATGCTGCACCTTCCTCCACCATCTAAAAATGCCCCAAAAGCACCATTACGACAACATCACTAATTGAACACCAATAACATCGTGAACCTGAGTTCTAATTATTTCCTAGCAACTAGCAAAAGAAACTAAATTCAAGGAAAAAATCAAGGCAAGGCAAGATAAAGTTAGCTTCAGAGTTCACAAGCATACAGCAATTCGGCTAATTCGCTGGTTCATGTGGAGAAAAAGAAAGCTATTTGGCTCTCGCCCAAAATTCTCATCTGCCCGCCAAAGTATATTACTCTAATCACTGCCCCTAATTGTAGCAAGTCAAGCACAAACGATAAAAATAGAGGTGGGTAAGAGCAAGTTATTTGCAGAAAGGGCACCTGAGAAGGACCAAGTAGAGTTTTTCGACCTCATTGGCGTCTTCCTCGTCGTCGTTGAGAAAAATCACATTGTGACACTGGTTACTGGCCGAGGAAGACGAGCCGGAGCTGTGGAGATTGTTAAAACCGAGTTCGAATAAGTTGTTGTTGTCGTCACTGCCGCTGGAGGAAAAGTAATCGTCCCCCATAGATGCACCGGAGTAGGAAGCAGGAGAAGAACGACGCAGGGGGAGAAGGGTTTTAAAGAAGGAGAAACGAGAAAGGAGGGTTTCGAAGAAGCGGGAGAAACGAGCGAGCTGGAACGACAGGAACGGAGAGGGTTTGGTGAAGATCGGCAAACGGTTGAGCTTACCGGAGAGACGAAGGGTCATAGGTAGTCAAGGTCGGAGGCAGAAAAGCAAGCAGGGTTGAGGTAAAATTCATGTCAATAACTGTCTCCGTCCGCAATACTTAGGCCGCGCCCGCGCCCTTTTCTATCTATATATAATCTACTTAGCAAGTAGTCCTAGTGTGAATCAGTTTCAAATTCCTCCGCTTGATGGGCTACCGGCCCAAGCCCAATAACAAAGAGTTTGAAAACCGAAGTAACTCTTTCCGAAACCCGAAACAACAAGGAGATCGATAAGCGCCGCATCCTCCACTTCTCGCCGCTCCGCCAGCCTCTCGCCGTTTTTTCGGTTTCTCCACAGTTCCGTATCTTAATTCCTCTCATCCTCTCGCTGCCACTCTCTTGTCGCCTGCGCTGCCGTTATTCAGCTGCTCCCGCCTGATTTCTTACTTTGAGGTAAGATCCGGTTCTCCTTTAATCCGATCGCATTCGCTTAGATTGTGTAAAAGTCGGATTGAAACTTAGTGATAGATTGGCCAAGTGATCTAGTTGCAAGTTTTTAGGGTTAATTGCTTGCTGTTTGTGTTGTTTGCTTCTCGCCGTATCTCTTGTGCTTTCGCTTGCATTGAAGTTTAGATTTTTTTTAGGCTGTTTTTGTTCTCCCTATGTAATAGGGAGAGAAGGGAGCGCTGGGTGATTGTTTAAGGCTGTTTCTGAGACTAAGTAGATATCTTTCTCTGCTCTGTGTGTCTTTGTATAATTAGTTAATGCCCTTCTTAACTTCTCCTGTAATTGGCAGGAAGTTTGTCTCAGAACGGAGTACAAGGCCTGCATAACACAGGAGATTTGAGGAACTGAATAGTTGCGATGGGGAAAAAGAAATCTGATGATGCTGGGGGTGCCGGGAAGGGTAAGGCAGCCACCAAAGAGGCAGCTACCACGGGGAAGAAAGATAAACTCTCGGTATCTGCCATGTTAGCTAGTATGGATCAGAAACCTGATAATCCCAAGAAAGCACCTTCGTCCAGTAAACCCAAGCCTAAGCCTAAGCAAAAAGCTCAAGCCTACGATGACATTGATCTCCCTCCATCTGATGACGATGATGATGATGATTATGTCTCAGGCGAGGAGGGAAACCAGATGGATGCTCCCAAGAGATCTAACCAGCAGCAGTTCTTGAAGCCCGTTGAGGCTTCTCTTTCAGAAAAAGAGTTAAAGAAGCGGGAAAGGAAGGAACTCCTTGCCGCTCAAGCTGCTGAGTTGGCAAGGAAGGAGGCTCTCAAGGATGACCATGATGCATTTACTGTTGTCATTGGAAGCCGTGCATCGGTCCTTGCTGGAGAGGAAGAAGGTGATGCCAATGTCAAGGATATTTCAATTGACAACTTTTCAGTGTCGGCACGTGGGAAGGAGCTCTTAAAGAATACGGAAGTTAAGATATCCCATGGAAAGAGATATGGTTTGGTTGGACCGAACGGGATGGGGAAATCTACACTTTTGAAGCTTCTTGCTTGGAGGAAGATACCAGTCCCTAAGAACATTGATGTCCTGCTGGTTGAGCAAGAAGTTGTTGGTGATGATAAATCTGCTCTACAGGCAGTTGTTTCAGCTAACGAGGAACTTGTCAAACTGCGACAAGAAGTGGACACATTGCAGAAATTATCTTCAGTTGGTGATGAAGAGATTGACAATGATGATGACCAGGATGATGCAGGAGCTAAGCTTGCTGAACTGTACGACAAATTGCAGCTAATGGGATCAGATGCTGCTGAAGCTCAGGCGTCAAAGATTCTAGCTGGACTAGGTTTTACAAAGGATATGCAGGCTCGTGCAACTCAGTCTTTTAGTGGAGGGTGGAGGATGAGGATTTCTCTTGCTCGGGCACTTTTTGTGCAGCCAACTCTATTGTTGCTTGATGAGCCGACAAACCATCTTGATCTTAGGGCTGTCCTATGGCTGGAGGAGTACTTATGCAGATGGAAGAAAACTTTGGTGGTTGTCTCGCACGATCGCGATTTCCTTAACACAGTTTGTAATGAAATCATTCATCTGCATGATCTTAAGCTTCACACATACCGTGGGAACTTTGATGTTTTCGAAAGCGGGTATGAACAAAGGCGGAAAGAGGTTAATAAGAAATTTGAGACTTACGAGAAGCAGATGAAAGCTGCCAAGAAGACTGGGAGTAGGGCTCAGCAGGAGAAGGTCAAAGATCGTGTAAAGTTCGCTGCAAACAAGGATGCATCAAAGAGCCGAGCTAAGGGGAAAGTTGACGATGATGATGTGCCTGCTGAAGCCCCAAGAAAATGGAGGGATTATAGCGTCGAATTCCATTTTCCTGAACCCACTGAGCTCACACCTCCACTTTTGCAGCTTATCGAAGTTAGCTTCAGCTATCCAAATCGGCCTGATTTTAGGCTTTCAAATGTTGATGTGGGTATTGATATGGGAACCCGCGTTGCGATTGTTGGACCCAATGGAGCTGGAAAGTCTACCTTGCTGAACCTGCTTGCTGGCGATTTGGATCCTACTGAGGGGGAAGTACGAAGAAGTCAGAAATTGAGAATTGGAAGGTACTCGCAACACTTTGTGGACCTCCTCACAATGGGTGAAACACCTGTTCAGTATCTTTTGAGACTGCATCCAGAACAAGAAGGGTTTAGCAAACAAGAGGCTGTGCGTGCAAAACTTGGGAAATATGGACTACCCAGCCATAATCATCTTACCCCTATTGCTAAACTATCTGGTGGACAGAAAGCTCGTGTTGTATTTACGTCAATATCCATGTCAAAGCCTCACATTTTGTTATTGGATGAACCCACCAATCATTTGGATATGCAGAGTATTGATGCACTAGCTGATGCTCTAGACGAGTTTACTGGTGGGGTTGTCCTGGTTAGTCATGACTCTAGATTGATCTCCCGAGTATGTGATGATGAAGAAAGGAGTCAAATCTGGGTTGTGGAAGATGGAACCGTGAAGTTTTTCGATGGGACGTTTGAAGAATACAAGGAGGAATTGCAAAAAGAGATTAGAGCCGAGGTTGATGATTGATTTTGCAGCAGGTAAGATCTCATTCTTTTGTTGTTGTGATTTGCTTGATGGTATCTTGTGAAGATGCGTTCAGTGATTGAAGCATGCATGAACTTTTTTTGTTTTGCTTTGGTTGAGATATACCCATGTAGCTTATATTGAATATTCTAGGAAGCTACTGTGAATGAACTTTGCTTTCTTGTTCCCGAATAGGATGTGTATCTACTCAGACATCCAGTCACTGAAAAATATGTTCTTTCTTTTATTTTGCTTAGTAACGTGTTTTTATTTATACTTGCCGTCTGAGAAACTAAGATGCATTTGTAGAGTAATGCGTTGCGTACAAGACGGCTGTTGGTTACCTTTCAACTATGAGCAGCCTTCAGCAGCTGCTTCATCCATGTACATTGCATGTCTATGCACTGGAGAAGAGGAGCGTTTTTCCCCTATACGGAGTGGAGAACATATATATATGCTGAGAGCATACCATCTGTTCAAACTAGCGAGAACAAAGAGCTACTTCGCTTTCTTGTATACTCTGCAATTTTTCAGTCCAATCTTACTGGTAATAAGGAAAGACATAACTGGTGGCTGATATGTATTGTGGTTCGGCTTCTTGACGAGTTGTTTTTCTTTTCTTTTCTGTTTAGCTTGGTTTTGTACGATTTGAATGAATAAGTGAAAGTCCATTATTCTTATATCCTATATATTCTTAGCATGTGGCACGAATCTGATCTGAATATCTCTGCAACTTTCTGCATCAGATTGTCATGGAATGTTTTTTGTTTTCTAATGTCAAGGGAGGGTCACAGCATAAAGGTGGAAGTTGTTCGTTCTTTTTTTGTTTTGTTTTTTTTTTTTTTTTTGAAACAATTGGTTCGTTCACTGCTTTGAGTTTTGTCAGTCTGTGTCTTCTCACTGCTGGAAAATAGGGGTGTTCAAACGGTTTGGTTACCATGGTAACCGTTTTAACCAGTACTATTTGAATAATTTGGTTTGGTTGATTTGGATAATTGGTTTGGTTTGGTTTGGTTAAAGTTTTTAACTTGTTTGGTTAGGTGGTTTGGTTTGGTTTGGTTTCAGACACTCTTAACCAGTCAAACCAAATTAACCAGTTAAGTAATTAGTCATATATCTAACATATATTATATACACATACTTAATACTTTGCATAACCACTCAAGAGTTAACGTTCATCCCTTTTAGACTCATAAAATATAAAGCTCAATATTGCTCATATAGTGTATATTTGTATATGTAAAATGTAGACCACAACATATGAACGCCTAATTTAGATAAATTTCATACATTATGATGGATGAAAACTTGAAAGAAATGTCATTTCCAGCCTATGATAATTGCTAAGAGACTAAGTCAATTTACACAACAATTCATTAACTCATACCATTGTCATAAATTTTTGTTAGGTGAATACTTCTATACTAATCGTAAAATAATTGTCTTAGTTGCATGTATTTTTGTTAAGGGTCAACTATAACTACGTGTTGATTGTTATGTTTTATTCATTATATAAATTGTGAATTGTTGCATTAACCGGAAAATTTCATCGTCAATGATAATATGTTTTTATATTGGTTAATCTGGTTAACCAATTAACCAAACCGATTAAACTTTAGTTTGGTTAATTTGGTTGTTGTATTAGTTTGGACGGTTTGGTTATGATATTGTATTTCATGGTTAATGGAATTTAGCCTTATTTAGTTTGGTTATAACCATGGTAACCATTTGAACACCCCTACTGGAAAAGGCTGCAGATCAAACTCGAGTTTTTTCCCCCCAAAGTACACACCTCATTAAAAACAAATTCCAAATATACACATTTTATAATAGGGTAAATACCACATTTGGTCACTGTTGATTACTAAATCATGTAATGTTTAGTCACTAGAAAAAATTAATATTAATTTTAATCACTCGAATTAGTGAAACATGTCACATTTAGTCACTCTACCGTTAGTTTCCGTCTAATTCCATTAACGGAGTTGGACAGAGGCTAACGGATAGTGACTAAATGTGACATGTTTCACTAATTCAAGTGAAATTCATAAAAAAAAATGATAATGCGAGTGACCGGAATTGGACGTAGGCTAACGGGAGAGTGACTAAATGTGACCTGTTTTAGTAATCCGAGTGACCAAAATTGATATTAATTTTTTCTAGTGAATAAACATAACACGATTTAGTAATCCCAGTGATCAAATGTGGCACTTACCTTGTAAAATATATTTTTAATCATACATATTTGGGCTTCATTGCTGCCGTTGGAAGCGGTGAACGCCTAACCTAGGCCAAAACTTCGGCGAACGTAAATTTGCGCTCGGTTATCTAATCATAGCGAACTTTTTTTGATTCCGCATAATTTTGAGATCTAGCAAGCTGAAAACAACTAGAAGCAGTTTGATCCCGCTCCCGCATTCGTCTCGAAAAAACGTCGTTTGCTATCCTGAACAAGAAATTTTTAGATTTTGTCAAACTTTGGATGCCCATAACTTTATGCTCTGCAACCCGAACATTCTAATTTTTTTATTTCGCAAAATTTTTTAAGGAATACAACTTTTATCATAGTAATATTTTCTGAATGTATATGAATTTGTGAAAAGTAAAGCTAAAGTTATTCCCCAAACCCCTTTCATCCAAAAATATTTCATATTTTGAAAATTTCTTCCCATTAGAAGTTGTAGTCCTTTAAACGTTATGCAAAATCAAAAAAAAAATTGTGACGTTTTATGGCCTTCTAAAGTTTGGTGAACTCTAAAAATTGCTTGTTTGCGAGAGCAAACGACATTTTTTCGGGACAGAGGCAGGATCCAACCGCCGTTTGAGACTTGCAAGATCTCGAAAAATTATGCAAAAAATAAATCGCTACGATCAGAAAATTGAGCGCAAAGTTACGTTCATTCGAAGTTTTGGCCTAAGTTAGGCGTTCACCGCTTTTGATGGCCTCGGTGAATCAATCACAGCTTTTGACGGCAGCGGTGAAGTTGTTCACTGCTTCTAACGACCACAATGAAGCCCAAACATATATAGATTGGGAATATTTCATAAAATGTGTGTATTTTGAGAATATTTTTTAAGGTGTATAATTTGGGAAAAAATCCGATCAAACTCAGCCATGTTTGGGGAAAGTTTCTACTAAGTTTCGCTCTGAGCATTTTATCCTGGTCTTCACAATGGTTAATCACTAAAGGAGTCGTTTGATCGTCGGGGCTATCACTTTTTCTAGATATAATTTTCGATGAAGATCCATTCATGAGTGGAACAGTTGATACGGAAGAAACAAATTGTTGCAGGAACTTTGGACAATGTTGAAGTATATCCCAACAAATTTGTTCAACTTGAAAGGCTTTCTGGCGTCTGCTATATATATATATTTTGCTCGTTCAACCTAGACAACTAATTTAAATATATTATTAAGTATGAAAAATAATTATTAGAACTAACCACATCACTAAGGTTTGCTCCGCTCATTGGTGTCGCGCTTGCTCTCCTCGATATTGAAAGCCCCAGTTATGACGTGAAATTTGACATCCTTTCGAAGCAAATACTACCCCAACTTGCCTTCAAAATTCATTCAACGATTGAACATGGCCGAAGGAACCATCCATAGAAATTTCTATCCATGCCTTGCACAAAACTTCATCTTCGGACTCACTCCAATTCGGCAAGCGATTACTTTGAGACCTGATCAAGAGTTTGGGAGGAAGATAAGTTTTTTTTTTTTGGATGGATGGGGAGAAGATGAATATGACAATTGGTGAGAGTTGAGAGAAAAAAAAATTGAAGTGATGAAGTAGAAGTGAAGAAATGAGTTGTTTATAGAGTAAGTTGAAAAAATAGTTGTTGGGGGCTAAAAGAGTCGTTGGGGCTGAAAGAGCCATTGGGGTTGATATGTAATTTTTTTAGGTTACAACGAGCTTGAACGAGCGACGGACACTTGGGGGCACTGCGCCACACGCGCGAGAAGGCTTGGCTCCACCCTCGCGCATGTGGCCTTGTCTCCCCTCTGGCACGTCTGTTGGCCAACTACTGGTGGTTCCTTAGATTTTGGACCTGTTTGTTTTGTAGTTTACAAATTTTTGGACCTAATGGATCTATGGACTATTTCGAATCCCATTAGAGAGACTTGAGTCCAATTTTTTAGAATTATGGAACACCATTGGAGATGACCTAATGGGTTGTTTGAATGAAACATTTTCAAAATGAGACAATTTGAACTAGATGAAGAAATTTGCCAACTGAATAGTTTTGAACGGGACGTGAAATGGGGAAATGTGGACGAGTCATTTTGGATAAGTACCAATTATTTACCCTCGTCTTCTCAAAGTTTCTCATCCTTGTTTTGCTGCAAAATTTTCATCCTGTTTTTGGGGGGTTTTATTTCTATATAGTTCTCAGGTATCCCCTCGAGTTCATCATCCACAAAATTGTAATAAAATCCTTTGTTATTCACCATATCCACTCACATGCAATCAGTTTCTCTAGTGACCTAGACAGTTTGAGCGGCGGAGAAAGCAGAAACAAATGGCTTTACTCTCGTTTTTTGCAAATTCCTCAAACATGTTTATGTGAAGCTTCTATCTTTCTGGGTTCGCTTTTTGTACAGTTGGAGATCCACATGGATAAGCGGAAGAAGTCAAAAACCAAATTGAAACGTCTATAAAAAAATATGTTTGCACATATCCAAAACAAAATTGAAAATAAATGAGAAATCGAGAGAAGCTAGAACCGGCGCTAATGAGAAGAAATGTAATGTTAAGATAACACGAATTAGGCGCTCCACTTCAGAAGCCTGGAAAGTCAGCTCAACGGCGTTGGAGAAACCCCTTTCCTCCTCTCCTTGGCGATGAGTCATCTCTTCAAGATGTGCATCATGCTTGGAGACTCGCCCGTCAACAAAATATGTAGCGACGATGCAAGGATAATCTCGCTGTGAATCTCTCCGCTCTGCATCGTCTCCAAGGAAGAAGAAGGAATATGATGATGAAGAGAAGTGAGGATTG